ATGCACCACCACTGCCTGGCATATTTAATTTTTTTTGTATTTAATAAAAGACATATTTATTTATTTTATGTGTATTGGTGTATCCCTGCATGTGTGTCTGTGCACCATGTGTGTACAGTGCCCACAGAGGCCAGAAGAGGGCTCAGATCTCCTGGGACTGGAGTTACACAGTTATGATTCACCATGTGGGTGACAGAAATTGAACCAGGGACCTTTTAAAGAGCACCCAGACCTCTTAACATCTCTCCAGACTCCAAGAATGTTCTAACACAGCAATAGGAAACTAACTAGAACACACCAGATCTTTGTAATGTCTACATAGGTCTAACATCTACATAGGTCTAACATCTACATAGGTCTAATGTCTACATAGGTCTAATGTCTACATAGGTCTGTCTACACTGATTTCTCCAGTGTGACTTTTTTTTCAGTGCTAAGAATGGAACATAGAGCCTTGCACATAGTGGGCAGGAATTCTAAGGCAGACTACACCCGCATCCCTGAATCTACTTCTTTGGTTGGCCACTTCCTACGGACCAGGGATGCTGTTCAGTGGTGGAGCCCTTACTAACAGATGCTAGGGCTCAGCGGTGAAGGGAAGCAAGCAAATGAAAGGAAAAGCATAGTCAGTATCGTTAGTCATTGAGGGGTCTGCTTTTTCTTCTTTTAATCCCAAACAGTGTTCCAGTGGGGTGTGTGTGTGTGTGTGTGTGTAAGACAGAGAAAGAGATTTGGGGTGGCTATTACCCAGGGGCTGCATTCTCTTATTCAAACATTGAAATAAAGGTTCACAGAGGTTGCAAAGTAACAAGGAGACTTTATGCAAAAGCAAGGCCATGGTACATGGAGGGAGCTGCGGGATGACAGAGGCCACATGAACAAGGGTGCTTGAGGGCCCCGGTTACTATCTGAGGCTTCCTTATGTGGGTTACAGAGGAGGAGGAGTCTGGTTGCTAAGGAGTGTATTGAGGGTGGTTCCCTGTTTTGATGATAGATTCTATAACAGTTTTCTATTATGTGTCTGATTTTAATCCAATTATGCATAGGCATTAGATAGGGGATTCTCTCTAAACATTCACTGACAGAATACAGTGTGCCTACTGCACTTGTATTTTGGTGTCCCATGTGAGGAATATCTCATGTGTTTAATAGAGGCCACAGTTTGCCTTACTGTACACATACTCCGAAGTATTAGGCCAGATCAACCCATTTCTGTTGTCATCTGTTTTTTATTATCTACAGCGGCTGCCCTTTAAGCAATGGCTATCCTAGTCAGAGATTGCAACTCCACTGCTACCAGCAGTGGTTTGGCCACAAGGGCCGCAGCCTGAGGAGATTCTGTTCCCTCAGGCACCGACTCTTTCAAAGCTACTAAGGGAGAATTTATCTGAATCTAAAGAACTCACAACTCAATGGTTTATGTGGAATTCTGCTCTCTCAGAGAGGCTGTATAAATAGCAAGTAGCTAACCTTGTCCCTTTGCTGGCGTCTTCCAGAAAACCCAGCGTCCTTCTCTCAGCCCTCACTTAAAAAACCCTTGCTACACGTGGTTCCTCCTTGACACTTCCGGTCAACTACTTGCTGACCCTGCCTCCTGCTCACAGGTTAATTTTTAATCAAATACATCTTTGAATCGTTAACAAAAGCAGTAGGAAAAAATGCAACACACTTTTTAAAATAATATTCCCCAACCCATTTCCCTTGGTTTTAGAATGTATTCCAGTATGTTCGATAGAAATTGGGCATTATCAAAAGGTGTTTAAGGGGAGTAACTTATTTCCAGCTTAATAACTAGAAATAATTATATGTACATCCTAATGAAGTTAGGGGCCCCAGCATGGCAACTTATTGCTAGGAGCATTATTTGGAGATGGGTATGTATATAGCCCAAGCCAAGTGGAGTACCAGGTTTCAAAGCTATTCAGTTTGCCTGCCTCAAAGTTGCTCATCTTTTTTCACCCTTGTCAGCCCAGTAGGCAAGAAATTAGATTTCCACTGGGCACGGTGATGCATGCCTATTATGTGAGCACTCAGGAGATAATACAGAACTACCACTATGAATTGGAGGCTAGCCTGGATTACATCATGTTTTACAAGAACAAATATCCCGGTGTAGTGGCAAACACCTGTAATTCCAGGGTGGCCTCAAACTTGTAATCCTCCTGTGGCCAGAAGTTTCTCTAGTCCTGCTGGGCCCCGTGGTCTGGACGAATTTTTTCCATCTGGGGTCTCATAGTGTCAGGGACCAAACATGAACCATGGAAAAGTACTAGCTAGGCCAGAGAACAAGCCACAGGCCCTAAACCAGATGCCCCCAAAGATAAAGAACATCCTGTGGTCAGGTAGCATAGCAACAGAACAATGGGCCCTGACCAGTGACCTTGTCACCTAGCACAACATCCTGCAGCCTCACAACTTGCATGTCCTCCTTCACTTGCATGTCTCCCCTCAGCTGCACATCTGGCACGTCGTGCACCCCTTCCTGCCCCCTCCCCCTCCCATGCTATATAAGCCTTGCTGAGAATAAAATTTGCAGCTTGATCAGAACCCTGTCTTGCTGTCTTCCTTCATGTCTCCCCGTCCCTTTCATTCTCTCCCACAGGTGGGTCGCCCCGGTTGAGACCCTGCTGGCCGGGGCACCATAGCCGCTTATAAAATAATTATTCAGAGGCTTAATGTTAATTGCAAACTGTATGGCCTATGGCAGGCTTCTTGCTAGCTAGCTCATATAACTTAACTCAGCCCATTATTATTAATCTATGTATCGCCATGTGTTCCGTGGCTTTACCTGTGTCCCATTACATGTTGCTCCTTGGACAGTGGCTGGCATCGTCTCCGACTTTGCCCTTCTTCTCTCTGTATCTCCACTTGAATTTCTTGCCTGCCTCTAAGCTGCCTTGCCATAGGCCAAAGCTTCTTTATTTATTAGTCAATGAGAGCAACACATATATTCACAGTGTACAGAAAGACATCCCGGAGCATCTTCCTGCCTCAGCTTCCACTTTGAAGAAATTATTCCTGAAAGTCTAATCCACCTCTGCTTCATGAATTCATGCATTTACAATACAGTTGGCAGAATGTAATTTCCTAGGCCCTGACTTTATAAGGATACACCACAAGTAGACAAACCAGCTGATTCCTAGGGTCTCTCTCACATCTGCATGGCTTTCCTGATCTGAATCATCCACCAGAGAAGATTCTGGATTGTCTATCAGGCTAACTCACAGCAGGTTCTAGGGGACTGGCTGCAGGTAGGTGAGTGTTTTATCTTCCTAGGCTGGGAACCTCCCCAGCTACAAGCCAGCTCTTCTACTCTTGTGTTTCCCAGTGCTTCCTGCTGCTGTCCCTGGCAGGCGGTCCTGTTTCCAGGGTGATCAGCTCTAGCTGCAGCATCCAGTGTTTTTCAGGAGTGCTTACTTCTAAGGGTAGCACTAACACTCTGAGGTTGATCTCCTTGTTCCTCAAACATAACAAATTTAGGGCCTTGCAGTCCACTTCCTCAGCTTTGTTTCCAAGGTGCAACCCAAATGGCTAAATTCTGTCACCTCTAGGTCTCAGCTATTTGGAGGCTTCCAACTTCCCTGTGGCTGTTTCCTCTCCTTGTACTGTTCCCCAGAGCTCATGACCCAGAATGTAATCACATCATGGTATCTGGTGTCTCCCCTTAAGAGTTCAAGACCCACATGCAATTTTCCTCCAATATGGCCTCCAAGCAGGGACCACCCACTTTTTTTTTTAATCCCTCTTCCTTACATTCCTACTGCTCCAGCCTTCCAGAATGCTCAGATTGCTTCACCCCACCCCCACCGAGCCTGCTCATTGGCTAGTTGAGGGGAGCCACTATGCTCCACATCACATGGCTTGCCACAGCCTGAAGGCACGAGAGCCATAGTGCCCTTTTTCTGGGTCCTCGTCATCCATGCCTCTGTGCCTGCAGTGGCCTCCCTGTGACAGGATCTGCGATTTAAAGGAAGATTTATTGGTGTGGGCAAGTGTGTCTGTGTCTGAGAATGAACAGTGCCCATGGGGGCCAGAGCAGTGTGTGATCCTCTTATAGCTGGAGTTCCAGGCAGTTGTGACCCACCCAAGACGGGTGCTTGGTTTCAAACCCCAATCCTCTGCAGGAACAGCAAGCGCTCTTAGTCACTGTGCCTTTTCTCCAGCCTCCTAAATGTAGTTTTTAACATGCACGAAGCTCTCTGTGCAAATAGGTTCTATTAACCCCACCTTACGGGTAAGGAATCTCAAGTTCAGCAAGGCTGGGTGTTTCCCTTGGTACATACAGTTAAGAACTGTTAGGTTTAGGATTTAAATTCACCAATACTCTCATAAACTGACCCTGGCAGGAGGCTGTGGCCCAGAGAGACATGGAGATCACTGATAATCACTCATGGAGTTAAAAGGCAAAAGACAGACTTCAGCCTGAGAAAGGGATTGGGACAAAACTCCCAGAGCAAGGTTTTTTCCTAGCCAAGACCACAGTGCTTCCCAATGGCCAAGAGAATAATCACTCTGTGATTGAAAAATTGGAGGGGGCTGAAGAGATCCTCAACGATTTAGAGCACTGGCTGCTCTCCCAGATCTGGGTTCAATTCCCAGCATCCACACGGCAGCTCACAACCTTTTGTAACTCCAGTTGCAGGGATCCAGTGCGTCCTTGGGCACCACAACACCCATTCATATTAAATAAAACCAAAAAACTAACTAATGGTTTAAAGGTAACGTCTATCAGGCCTATGTGTTGAAACCAAAATTCTTTGGAAGTTAATGGTGGTGTCTTCAGGTGTTTGCATGAGGCTTGGACATGGTCTCAACTTAGGAAGTTAGTAAGTGCAAAAGCAGGACTAGAGAGATGGCTCAAGCTGTTTAGAGCACTGGCTGCTCTTCCAAAGGACCTGGGTTCAAATCCCAGCACTTACCCTCACACATGCATGCAGGCAAAACCCCAAAGTACATTAAATAAATAAATCTTAAAAAATAAAATAAAGTGCAAAAGTAGGTCTCATGAACAATTTACATTTATTTGCTGCTAACTGTCGTCAAATACACTTCAAACACAGCAGAAGCTAGAGTCTGTCTGTGGGGTGGTGGCAGTGCTTGCCAATATACAGATGGTCCATGAAGAGTAACTTCAAACTCATCCTCAGGCTGAGGCCCAGCTCCAGGCAAACAGCTGATGGGCGCAACCATTCCTTCTGGCTGTCAGGAATTACTCCTTGTTCTCATACTTGTGCTTTATGTGTTTCCACAGCTTCTGTATTTAAAACACAACAACAGTTATTTATAACCTTTGCCCTCACACTTTACAACTACTTTCGTTGTCCAAAACAAAGAATATTGAGAAATCGGTGTCAAACTCTGAGTAAAAGTGTACAGTTAGGCCGGGTGGTAGTGGTGCACGCCTTTAATCCCAGCACTTGGGAGGCAGAGGCAGGCAGATCTCTGAGTTCGAGGCCAGCCTGGTCTATAGAGACAGAGAAACCCTGTCTCGAAAAACAAAACCAAACAAACAAATAAAAAAGAAAACCAGTTGAGGAACAGGCTGGCCATCTGTACCAGGCCTTTCCCAGTACAGCCACAATCTCACGACATAAAACATGCACAGAACCTGAAATGGTTAAGACAAAAAGGACTTGCCATTTCCTACTTTATGCCACTTTTAACCATCAGAACAAAGCTGCCTGCGTGGGGGAGGCCTTGGGAACTGAAACATCAATATATAAGGTCAGCCACGTTGTCTACGGAGACGTACTTTAATGACTGGCCTGCTGCCCTTGAAACCAGCAAGGGAGGCAGTAGTCGGAGTTCTAACCCACTTGCCACCGACTTATGGGGTAGTTCGGACCGTTAAAGTCTCAGGCGTTAGCTTTTGCAAATGAACATGTGGAAATGTGTGGTAGGCCACACCGATACTCCCCACCCCTGCAATGTGGGGTCAGTGTGAGGTTCAGGACTCACACCAGGTCAAGCGAACTGAAGGTACAGTCTCAAGACAGGGGACATAGTTCAGCGGGGTCCTGGTAAGGGAAGACTTGAGTTTCGTCCTCCTTCCCTCCCTCCCAGTCACCCCTCAGGCGGGCCCAAGGTCAGGACGGCCCAGGCCCTCACCCCCTCGTTGAGGTTCTCGTAGATCGCGTCTGCGCCCTGGTCGAAGGCGCGCTCGAAGAAAAGGGCGCCCACTACTATGGTGAGGGCGAAGGTTGAATTCCTGCGGAACAGCAGGGAGTACAAACGCGAAGTGATCGGCGGCGCCATGTCGCCTCGCTACTGAATTTGCTCTACTGAGTCTGCGTAGAGGCCGACTTCTCATTCCGACCAAAAGTTTCGACGCGCACTGCCTTATGGGAATTGTAGTTCCTCCTCTGTATCTTAGCGTGGACGTTTTGAATCACACAGAAAGTCATAGTGTGCATAGGATAACAGATTCTTACTATGTTCATATCCACACAGCCAACATTTGGTAAAATTTATTACCCAGTCTTTCTCTTCAATTATTTCTTGCTGTTTGACTATTTTGAACTACAACTCCCAAAAAAACCTTCGTTTTTCCCCATCTTGCCCCGCGCTGTCCCGCCTTAGCGGTCAGTCTTCTCGTGTACTTTAGAAAGGACTACGAATCCCAGCGAGCAGAGCGCCACCCGAGAACGCAAGAGGAGGAGCTCGGAGCCGTCCAGCCAGGTATTTTTGGCCAGACGTCCTGGGCCGAGTTCTATGCTACTTCTTTACCCAGAATAACGAGCTCTTCGTTCAAAATCCGTGCTGTCAGCATTTTCTGGCATAGGGAGTGGCTAGAGAGGCGAGGGGGACCCCGGCTTCCGTGCCTTCATCTCGCCCCTCTGCCTCTGTCTTCTGTGAACCTACTCCAGGTGTAGGTTTGGAGGTAGCAAAGATCGGGTCCTAGAGGTTTAACCCTTCAGTCACGCCTCAGGAGAAAAAGGTGGCTTTGCCTTTTCTTCCTGTCCTCCAGCTCGTAGGCTTTGAAGCCAAGAACCCTGGCCTCGAAGGCAGGCGACCTGGTTGGAAAAGGCACCCTACAAATGCTTTTCTGAGGATTCCCCACTCGGTCTTGAGCTGGTCCCCAGCAGATGAAAGGTCCCAGCCCTGGTGGAGTGCTCGGGCTGTTATGTGGGTAATGAAGAGGGCCAGCGCTTCTGGAAACTAGGACTCTAGAAGAAAAAACTGACTGCTTGGACAGGTTGATGGTGCTCCTTAAGCCTGGTAGCCACTCAACAGAGGACTGAATATATAGCAGCAGGGTAAAGTTTTAGAGGCAGTTGTAGTGCTGGGGTGCTTCAGAAAATGTAGCATGGACTCTTAGGTGGTCTAAGTCATTTCTAGTCTGGCCTTGTACCTGTGATAAGGAGTCTTTATTTTTTTCCTAATTGCAGGAGGGAGACACTGAATGGTTTTAAACTGGAATGTGACAAGATCTAATTTATATTTTAACGCTATCTTTCTGGCTTCTTGGTAGAAAATAGACTGAAGAAGGGAAATTACAGAGGAAGGTGATTTAGAGAAGAGTGGATTAGAATAATCATCAGATTTGAGATGCATTTTGGGAGGTAGGGTAGACCAAACAAACTAGCAGATTTGTGCAAAAAAGAGGAATCAGAAGCCGGGCAGTGGTGGTTCAGGCCTTTAATCCCAGCATTTGGGATGCAGAGGCAAGCAGATCTCTGTGAGTTCGAGGCCAGCCTGGGCTACACAATGAGTTCCAGGATTCCAGGATAGGCTCCAAAGCTACACAGAGCAACCTTGTCTCGAAAAACAAACAAACAAACAAACAAAAACCCTACAAAAACAAAAAAACAAAACACAAACAAACAAAAACCCCGGAGTTTAATTGTGCAGGCCTTTAGTACCAACACTCTGGAGAGACAGGTGAGTCTCTGAGTTCAAGGCCAGCCTGGTTTACAGATTCCAGAACACCCAGGGCTGCATAGACAAACCCTGTCCTAAACAATACAAAAACAAACAAAAAGAATTAATATGTAGGGTTAAATCAAAGTTTGACCTCAAGGACTAAATTGTTTTTGTCTAATTGTTTATTTTGAGACCAGTTTTCACACTAGCTCTGGCTGGCCTAGAACCAGCTACATGGACTAGCCTGACTCTGAACTCCTGGTGATCCTCCTGTCTCTGTCTCTGGAAGGCTGAAATTATAGACATGCACCACTGTGCCTGGCCTGTAAATTGTATGTGTGTTTAAAGATTTATTTTTTGTTATGGTAGATTATGCATATGTATAAGGTGGGTGGAGGGGTTGATACGTGCTCCTGAATGGCAGTGCCCACAGAATCCAGGAAAGGGTATTGGATCCCCTGGAGCTAGAGTTAGAGCTGGTTTGTGAGCTATCCTACGTGGGTGCCAGGTACCAAACTTGGGCCCTCTGTTAGAGCAGTACATGCTTTTAACAGGCTCTCCAGCTCTGTAAATTGTGTTTCATGTGAGTTGTCTCTTAGCTATGAGTGGAAACATCTAGGGCAAATGGGGCTATGATTCTGAAGTTTAGAGGGCTGGTCTGAGACTGGAATAAGGACTGAAGACTGGCACAGGATTATAATCCCAGCACTTGGGAGGTGGAGGCAGGAGAAACAGAAGTTCAGAGTTATCCTTCTCAACGTATTGTTTGAGCCCAGCCTGGACTACATTGGACTCTTTCTCTAAAAGAATAAATTGATAGATTAAACCGAGGACTGATCATAACTCACCTTCTGACACATGTGACCTTCCTTGTTCAGTCCTGACTTTCTATGACCTGAAGAGAGCAGCAGTGAAGTCTGGTTAGGGACTTGAAGGGGAAGAGGACAATACTGAGGATGAGCTCCTCTCAGCATGCCTGTTTACTACTTGGAAAGCATCCTGGTAACTCCTGGCAGGAAGTTGTGAGCATGCAGGGAAAGACTACTTAGGTTTTGCTCATCACCTGCAAGAGACCTACAACAAATGTGGTTGACTGCAAGTTCAGAGGACAGGAAAACATTTTATGTGGGATGAGAAGGCTGACTAAAGGGCGTTAAAGGTGTGGCTTATTTGATTTGATTTAATTTCTACTTTGTGTTATTTTTAAACATTTATTATTTTTATCTTATATGTGTGAGTGTTTTGCCTGAATGTATGTGTGTATGTGCACCATATTTGTGCTTGGATTCCTTAGGACGGGAATTATGAATACCTGTGACCTCCATGTGGGCACCAGAGACTAAATCCAGGTCCTCCACAATCACAAGAGTTCCAGGCAACCTGACACCCTCACTCAGATGTACATGCACTCAAAAAACACCAATGCACATAAAAGAAACTTTAAAAAAAAATAAAGAAAATAAACATTAAATTTTTTTTTCAGTTTTTTAGTAAAATTTTTAAATGTTGGGCATGGTGGCACATTCCTTTAATCCCAATAGTTGGGAGATAGAAGAGGAAGATCTCTGTAAATTTGAGGCTAGTCTGAGCAACATAGTAAGTTCTAGACCAACCAGGACTACATAGTAAGACCCAGTCTTAATTTTTTTTTTAAAGCTGGGTGGTGATGGCACATACCTTTAATCTAGCACTTTGGGAGGCAGAGGCAGGCAGATCTCTGAATGCAAGGCCAGCCTGGTCTACAGAGTGAGTTCCAGAAAAACCCTGTCTTGAAAAAAAAGGAGGGGGGGGGGGGCAGTTGTGCACGCCTTTAATCCCAGCACTTGGTAGGCAGAGCCAGGTAGATCTCTGTGAGTTTGAGGCTGGCCTGGTCTACAGAGGGAGATCCAGGACAGGCACCAAAACTACACAGAGAAACCCTGTCTCGAAAAACCAAAACTAATAAAGTTTTGTTTTGTTTTTCCAAGAGGGTTTTTCTGTGTAGCCCTGGCTGTCCTGGAACTCCCTTTGTAGACCAGGCTGGCCTTGAACTCACAGAGATCCTCCTGCCTCTGCCTCCCAAGTGCTGGGATTAAAGGCGTGAGCAATCACCATCCAGGAAAAAAAAATTGTTTTTTTCTTTTGTAAAAATATAATTGTTGAGTCAGGCATAGTGGTGCTTAGCTATAATCCCAGCACTCTGGGAGGCTAAGGCAGAAATATTGAAAGTTTGAGGCCAGCCCTAGGCTATGAAGTGAGACTGTCTCAGTGGGGGGAAAAATCTTCAATGTTCTACACAAAAATCTAGGGAAATGAGAAAAACAACCTTTACTTTTTTTTTGATTAATATTTGAACTCAAGTTGAACAAACTAAATTCCTCTAGACACTCAGCTCTACTTACAGTTTAATTGCATTCCCTCAAACATTTAACTCCATTTATAATTTTAATATATTTGATTTTCTTTTTAAGTACTTGGGATGCATAACCTAACAAGCTCAATTTCCCCAAGGATACTTAGTTACTAGCAAATTTAATTAATTAAGTTTATGCTGAATTTAAATTTCTTACAAACAATTCAATACTTTTTAAAATTGATTGTGTATAGGAGTGGAATTCATAAACACATTTCCATACAAATTTATTATGTACTTTGGCCCTTTCCCATTATTATTTCCAAACATTCCCACACATAGTTTTGCTTCTATTTCTGTATCTCATATGCATTTATGATTTTTATGTATCGGTATAGAATCTAGGATCTACAGATGGAATATGATAATTGTTTTTCTGAGTCTGACTCATTTCCCTTAATATGACGTTCTCCAGTTGCACCCGTTTCCCGTAAATGATATAATTTTGTTCTTTATGGTTAGGTAAAATTCCATTGTGTATATATGTCCCATTTCCTTAATCCATTTGTCTGTTGATGGACACCTACACTGCCCCCATAACGTGGCTGTTATGAACACGTGCAGGTTCTATGTTGTGCGGATCTGAGTCCTTCAGGTATTCCCCAAGAGTGGTCTGGCTGAGTGTATGCTAAATGTGTGTTGAGGAGCCATCATACTGATTTCCACAGTGGCTGTACCAGCAAACACTGCCACCAGCAGTGTATGGGAAGGGTTCTGTTTCCCGAAGTATCCTCCCAGCATGTGTTTTCTTACTGATAGCTGTTCTGAAGGGGATGAGATGGAGCCATGTAGTACTTTTGTTGTTTTGAGAAAGGGTCTCTGTGTAGCCCTGGTTGTCCTGGAACTCACTATGTAAACCAAACTGGCCTTGAGCTCACAGTGATCTGCCTTGCTCAGCCTCCTCAGTGCCGGGGTTAAAAGCATGCACTACTACACCCAGTTTACTAATTTTTTGATAGAAAGTTTTTTTCATATAATTTGTATATGTATATATGGTTTTTGTGGGGTTTTTTGTTATTTTGTTTTTGTTTTGTTTTTTTTTTTTTTTTTTTGGTTTTTCGAGACAGGGTTTCTCTGTGTAGCTTTGCGCCTTTCCTGGATCTCGCTCTGTAGACCAGGCTGGCCTCGAACTCACAGAGATCCGCCTGCCTCTGCCTCCCGAGTGCTGGGATTAAAGGCGTGCGCCACCACCGCCCGGCCCGTTATTTTGTTTTTTTGATACAGGATTTCTCTAGGTAGCCCTGGCTGGCCTGGAACTCACTATGTAGACCAGGGTGGCCTCAAACTATAGTATATATTGATCATGTTTTAACCCTCTCCCAGTTCCTCCCAGATCCTCCCCTACCTCCCTACCTACACAACTTTATGTTCTTTGTCTCTCTTTCTTTATAGTTCAGTACTTTTTATTTTTATTTATTTATTT